TCGGTGGTCTAGCGGTCTAGCACACCGCTTTACGTCCGATGGTCGCGGGTGCGATTCCTCGCACGACACAAATATTTGTATCCATTAGTATGATTGTTTGTATCGGTCTGGATGTTTTCTATGTATAATATGTCTGTATTTAGGAAACAAAATATGTATCTATGTATTTGTATCAGTTATCTAGTGCCCATAACACAAGCTTCAGCTAGCTTATCTTGGGACTAGATGGCGCTGTGTGAATTATCCTGATATGATTATTATGTTTTGCTTTCTCAGCCTATTTTCTGGGTTTTGACGCTTTCTACACCACACTCTCAAAACCTTGCAGTGTGTGTGTATGTTTCTCATAAATGCGCGTTACCGCGTTTGAAGCGTATGTGTGTGTATATTGAGAACCTTTTAATGTACGTGATAGGTGTTTATTATTATTATTATTTATGTTGTCCTTTGACTTTAGATGTAGTTTTAATGTTGTGTAATTCGAATGGTAAACAAGTTGATGCTGGTGATATAGTACTGTTTATATCAGGGGTAAGGGTTCTTCTTCTTTTTCTTTCAGCATATATAGTGTCCACTGATGGACATAATGCTCTTGCATAATAACTAAAGTATACTGTCTGTGGCGTGTCTTGTCCAGGTGTTCTGTTAATTGCCTGATATCATCTAATTGGCAGTTGGTCTGCACGCTTCTGCTTCCCATCCTAGGTCGCCACATTAAGGATCTGTAGGGGTAAGGGGATTGTTAGTAATGAGGGCCGATGAGCCCTTGCTAGCAATGTACCATGTCAGGTCGACCTCCACGCGGTTCCTCCTGGAAACCATCATGATAAATTCCTAGTGAACTTGTCTCGATGGGCTAACTGAACTGATGTCATATTCATCTAATCATCTTCCACTGGTGCCCCGCCAGCGCAAACCGCTAGCGCAGGTGGGTGCACCATTCCATTATCATCCATAAAAAAATAGGAACATCACGTTATCATGTTTTGTACGTGATTATTTTCAAGCTTTCCCACTCTGTGAGACCAAGATGTCATTCAAATGTCACTCCAAACTTACGGAGGGACTTGTGCGACTGATATGACGGATACTATTTTTAGTCTGAGGGCACCGCTTTTGTAAATCGGCTCAGGCCGTCGTAATTTCGATCCCGTTTGAATTCGCGTTCTATCTCTTGGGAAGAAGAAGTACCTCGGTAAATAGATATACATACATATAGTGTACCCTCTGAGTGACTCTAAGCTTGTTCATGAGGCCCATATATAGCGACCATCTAAATATATATAACTCAAAAGTGACTGACATAGTGATCTATCAACGCACAGCCCAAACCACTGGACGGATCGGGCTGAAATTTGGCGTGCAAATAGATGTTATGACGTAGGCATCTGCTAAGAAAGGATTTTGATTAATTCTACCCCCAAAGGGATAAAATTGGGGATGAATATGAAACTTTGTCAATTTTAAACCGATCGGGCTGAGACTTTGCATGCTTAAAGCTACTATGCCGTAGGCATCCCCTAAGAAAGGATTTTGATAAGGGGATAAATTAACGCGAGCGAAGCCGCGAGCAAAAGCTAGTCTTAGTATAAAAAATTACGTTATCTATCATTGTAATATCACATGTTCCATTCCACATATTGCAGACTCCTTAAGGCTATATAAATCAACCTAAACATATATCATTATGAGAATTACATACGAACAAAATGGCGTTAGGATACTTTGTAAGGTTCTGGGTTATTTGAATTGTGGAATGTACGGGAAACTCTGACACTGTCTTCATTTCGTCGTGAAAATTAAATTCACTTGAGACAATTTGAATGATGTCATTTGTATGTACTTGTGGATATAAATTTGTTACAAGATTGTTATGTTTTGACGGCCTCTGTGGTTTAGCGGTTTAGCAGACCGCTTTACTTACAATGGTCGCGGATTCGATTCCTCGCACAGTACAAATATTTGTATCCAAAAGTATGAAAATTTGTACGATACAAATATATATGAGACCGATGTCTGGGTGTCTGGGTGATTTCTATATATATTATGTATGTGTTTATAAAAAATATATCTAAATATTTTTTAATTTTAGGTTGTAGTTGTATAATTAAGTTATGTAAATGATATAATTAGTTAATAACTCAATTAATTAATTTAATTAGTATCCGTAACATGTATTATTATTGTTTATTAAATAGCTAAGTGAAATATAAAATTATGTCATTACATTACGAATACCCACAAATATATCAGTGTGTGTATTTATATCAGTTGTCTAGCACCCATAACAAGCTCTGCGTACATGTGTGTGTATACTAGATGGCGCTGTGTGAATTGTCCTGAGATATTACATTATTACTCAAATGAGAAACGTGCATGGCAATAGTAGTTCATGCACGTGATTTTCATTCAATGTAATAGACACCTATGTTAGTACATACTGTAAATAAACTGGCATTAAAAAAAAAGAGTTTCTTGCTAGTTCTTCTCAATTATAGATAGATAGATATATCGTTTATTTGTTTGTCACTAATCACACACAACATGTTCATAAGAATAGACAATACATAATACGACATAAGATTTATAAAATTGTGTTATTATGTGTGATCTGTAGCGATACAAAAAGGTCGATGCTCAGCGTGGAACATTGTTCAGGGAACAAAACACTGATTTTCAGCTTCAACCCATTTGAGGGTGAAAATAATAGTTAAAATAAATATAAAATAAAAAGAGCAATATTATTGGTGATTGTCTGTGCGGTGTGTGTATAATAAAAATAATGTAAATAGTTCACAGTATAATTTGATATAATATTAACTGTAAGGAGAAGGATTAAACGAAAAAAAAAGAAAATATTAATAAGAGTACCATAGAAAAATATTAAAAATCATTACTTGAGATTGCAACCGCTAGCCAAGAAATTTCCGTGGAATGCCTAAAATTTGTTTTTTTATAAAATATTCTTTGTGATGTTTTTTTAAAACTGTGTACGGTAGTAACATTATATATATACATATATATATGAAAGCATCATAGTAACATATTGACGATACAAAGTGATATGATATGTATATGGTATATTTAGGTATGTATTTTATTCATATTTATATATATTGTATGTATTTGTATATGTATGTTTACATGTACTTACGTTTAGTAAATATATATTATTTATGACATAGGTATTATTTTTCTTATTGATTACATTTGCACCGCCTACAAACTATGCACAACCTGTGGTTGACTGGTAGAAAATGCCGTAAGGCGTTAAGTCCTCCATATGTACTTTTACCTTGGTATTTTGTGCATTGAAGTTATATAAATAAATAAATATATAGCTGCTATATTTTCCATCCAACCCCTGTATTAGTCGGGTATATATTATTGAAATATACGATTTTGCCTTTTCCTCTATATGTCTATATATGTATGGTAAGGATTAAACGAAAAAATTGAACAATTGAATCTGTATACCGAACTGAACGGTCAGAAAAGATATTAACAAAAAAGCATAAAGTTCATAAGCGGCTATAATGTGTCCTACATGAATAAATGACTTCCGATTTGACTTGATATTTTTAATGAGCTGGTCGCGAAGCGCGGAGCGATTAGAGATAAGATTGCACTCTTTGTGACCATATATCGAAAGGGCTTGATGGGCCTTTATTTATCAATACGAAAAAAATCCGATCGGTCAAGACTGAGTTTTTAAGAATAAACGCGCTCCGCCTAAAATGTAACCTGGTGTGTAAACAACGCAATGGCGACAAACCTAGTATAAAACAAAGTCGCTGTCGCTGTCTGTCCATATGTATGCTTAAGTCTTTAAAACTACGCAACGAATTTTGAAGCGGATTTTTTAATAGATAGAGTGATTCACGAGAAAGGTTTATATATGGTAGTATGTCGTAAATGTTTACTCTGTGTTATCCGCTTAGATTTATGTATGTATGTGTATTATTTTATTATATATGAAGGTATCCGCTGAAAACCAGCGTCGTGGCACCCCGTCACGACATATGCTGAGCGGAGACCTATTTAACTGTAATTATATATATAAAAATGTAATATATAAAATTAAAAATTATTTTCAGTGTACCAAATAAACAATTTTCTTTCTTTCTTTGTTATATAATACATGTACATCCGTGCGAAGCCGGGGCGTGTAGTTAGTTTTATAACACCAAAATAGTGCTGGCTTCAGCGATGCATTTATTAATTATAAATTATTGAAATCATCAAATTTCTAATTGCTAATCATATTTGGACCGAGTTTCAAATTACATGAGATAATAGCTACATATACAAAAAACACTAAACTATTGTATACCTAACAAATCAATATAAGCATAAACTGAATTAATAATACTGCAGTGCTCCTCAAGATCTCGTTGGAATTATAAGTAATGTAAGTAATACTAAGTACTTACTAAATTACAAAGTAAATTTAAGTATATTATTTTTTTTATATTAAATTTATATATATTTTTCCTATCTATTATGTCGTGTACAGTCAGTGTTAATTTTAATTAGTTACACATATTTCAATAAAGTAAAGGCAATTTAAAAATATGAAATATATATTTTGTTTAAGATATACAGTTATATATACATGATACATATATATTTATATAATTAAATATTTAAAAACAGTGAAAATTTTATTTTTTTATTCGTTACTCTTTGTAATATTTTTTTTAATATTTTCTAAAGCATTTATTAATGTAATATTACAATTTCAATATTTTTTTTTACTTGTCATTTATTAATTTTCTACTTTTTTCTACCGTCACAAAGGTACTTTTGATTTTTATGATCGTTACTAAATCTACAACGTCTCGATTTTGACGTAACTTTTTATTTAGTAACTTGTTATTTTTTTTTGTAATGATTTAAATTAGTATTTTGTTAATAAAAATCTGTTAATTACAAACATTTTTTCATACAAAATAATGGAATTGTGTTGCCATTTTTTTAAGTTTCACATTCTGTTTCAGATACAACATGGCTGGGTATTTACTTCTGCTTTTACCCTCGCTAGTACTGGCGAAAATTGACATCGAGCTGGAGGGGACCTTCGCTGAAGGTGATGCCTCGCAGATGAAGGTATACACTTCTGGCAGAGACATCGAAATCATCTCTGACATGGAGCGTAAGACCTTCGACATAGAAGATAACAATTTGAAGAACTGCGTCAACACTTTCTTCGGAGCTCGTCCCAATGACGCATTTGTACGTAGCCCTACACCATGGAATGACCTCTACCAGACATACAGCTGGAATGAGGTGGCTCGCACTTTAGTGCCCAGGAACGGGCGGGTGATGAGCATCTCTTCCCAACCTACTATAGTCGTGCATCAGACTTTTGAAAATAACAGCACGATACCAGGAACTTTCAATGTTGGTATATCGCAAACTGTCGAAAATACCGTTGCATCAGCTTGGACGACTGGTGGCGAATTATCCATAGGTCAAGAAATTAGATACGGCTTCAAAATCGGCCACAAAACTACTGGAGGTGCTCTATCCTTCACTTATACCTCTTCGTACGGCAAAAGTGTAGAACATTCGCAGAGCGTTCTTCTAGGAACATCATCAGGCATGAATGTCCTGTTAGAACCGGGTCAGTCTGTCGTCAGTCAACTGCACGCTACTAGAGGCTCTATCAAAATAGAGGTTGAGTATGCTGCTTCGTTATCTGGTAGTACTGCTGTCAATTACTCTAAGAAGTATAAGGGTCATCACTTCTGGGGTCTCAACATAAGGAATGTGATGTCCAGCTGTCGATTAAGTAACTCAAAGGTTACTACTGAGGTCATTGAAATAGGTTTCTATGCAAATTCGAAAATAGTGGTCAATGATAGACGATCGGGCAAGAAGATCGTTGAGCTCGATGTTTAAATGTATGTTCATTTGTTTTCTTGTTTCCCGTTTATGAATGCAATTATACAGTAACAGTAAGAAATAATAAATGTTTTATTTTTCCCTCACATACATATATTTTTTTTTATATTTATAGTAATTTTAGTAAAATTATTACTTATTTTTGTTAATAAGTATAGGAATATTAAATATACTTATTAACAAAATTAAAATATAACTAAAATCTATATATTAAATATTCAAAGATATAATTATTATTTTATTAGTGTATACATAATTACATACAAAGCTTACTATAAAATTGAAGAATTCGTTAACGATAATAATGTTTTTATAGAAAAACTTTAAATCTATAGCACTGACAATATTATCTGATTACATTAATAATGAGTGCGTAGCGACTTCTATGTTGATTATCGCATGTCTCTTACTTGTTATACTGTAATTATTTATATAAAAAAAAACATCTATTAAAAAGAGCAACACACAAGTTTCTTGCTCATTCTTCTTGTGATGAATCTGCATTCCGAATGAGTGGTAGAATCAAAATATGACTATTCAAAAGTGCTTGTAATGAGTTTATTTGAATAAAGATTATTTCTATTTCTATTTCTACATATATTTTTTTCTCTGAATATAAACAGCATAAAATTCAATATCATAAAATCGTGCATAAAATAATATCATTCACAATTATTCATTCATATTTATCATTCAATAATATCACAAATCGTTAATTCTGTTCGTTCAATTTGCTGACTTAACAACAATTTTTATATATAGTACTATTTTTATTTGACTGGAATTTCAAATAAATTGACGGTCTGGTGGTAACTGGTAATCATCACCATCATCATTACATAGCATAAAACAAAGTCGCTGTCGCTGTCTATCCCTATGTATGCTTAAATCTTTAATACTACACAACTGATTTTGAAGACGTTTTTTTAATAGATAGAGTGATTCAAGAGGAAGGTTTGATGGAGATATTCAGTGGATTACACATATAGAGCAGTAAATATAATTTATTTTCGTTCCGATCAGTTGCACGTTACATGTCAACTGTTACTTAGCAACATGATTACATATTTTAAATGAGATTGATTAGACTTTTTCTTCTAAAATTAATGTGCCTAATAAGGTTTATATATGTAATACATGTACACCCGTGCGAAGCCAGGGCGAGTAGCTAGTTAAACATAAAGGGTGCCACAGACACGAGGGTATCATCCCCCTCCAATCGATTCTTCATCCAATTTCAAACTTTGTTGTTTTTGAATAGTATATTAATAGTAGAATTGAAATGAATATTGTTATTGCCAATAGGTAAAAAGTAGTTAAACACGGCACAAATAAAAATAAATCGAAATCGTATATCAATTAAGAACAATATCGATTAAGATAACGATCCTACGTGTTAGGCTCTGTGGCGCGCACAGTGACGTACAGTCAGCACAAACATTTTATATATTTACCATCATACGTTGTTTAATCATTTTTCTTGCAAAAAATATATATAAGTACAACTTATCTTAGTTGTCTAAGTAATATTATAAATACGAAAGTTTGTGAGTATGGATAAATGGATGGGTGGATTTTTGTTACTCTTTCACGCAAAAGTACTGAAAGGATTTTGATGATATAGATCAGAATAACAGGTAGCTATAAATTTCATGCGAGTGTAATCTCGGGCAGACTCGAGTGAAACCTCAAATCCTTTCAGTAGTTTTTGTGACAAAGAGTTACAAACATTCATCTTACAAACTTTCGCGTATATAATTAGCGGTGAATGTAATAATCATAATCGTCAAAACCAAAATATAATTCATGTAGGATATTATAGCTATTTATGAACGAAATAATTCATTTTCAGACAATGGACTATGATAGTCCATTTTGTTAGTAATCATACATAGGTTAAGTAAATGTATCTAAAAATATAGGTGCCACGTGTCTGATATGTCACTGTGTGGTGACGCGACATGTCATATGTCACACTTGGACTATGTATTCCTATACATAGTCCAAGTGTGACATGGACTATGTATAGGTGGGATGTATTTCTGCACTGTCACCATACACAAATTTTCTTGTCACCAGTATAAAATGCTGAAAAAATACAGCACCGACTAAGTAAATAAATTTATGAGTTCGGACAAGACTGTCGAAACGGCAGTTAAATGGGTCATTAATTAGTGTGTGCTATTCGGACGATATCCTTGGGATGGGAGAGATGAGCTGGAAAAATGTACGCCTGTCTGTCTGTCATAAAATTTGTAGCCTATGTGTTATTCTGAAGTACAAGCTATATCATTGTAAAGTTTCATCCAAATCCCTTCAGTAGTTTTTGTGTGAAAGAGTAAAGATCCATACTCACAAAATTTCGCTTTAGTAAGATTAGCTTACTTCTCATCAAAACCGAAATCAAATTCATTTATTCATGTAGAATATTTTAGCCGCTTATGAACGAAATAATTTATTGTCAGACAGCACAGTCCATTTTGTTAATAACAATTACTTAACCATAATGAAATAATTGTAAGTAAGTAAAGTAAGTTAAAATAGTATATTTCTAGATTATTAATATTATTGTAATTTGTATAGTACTGTTTTTACTTGTTTTAATTTTGTTTTTTTTATGACCTATAAATATTATTAATGTATGTATTGCATACGTTTATTCCTTGATGAGTGCATTGGTATTATACTGTAATACTCACTGAGAGCATGTCATGTTATAAATAAATGAAAAATACAGACGGCATGTGTATCGTATTTCACAGAGTATACATAGTCACAAGACTATGTATTCCTATACATAGTCCAAGTGTGACATACACCGTATATTCCCGCACCGTCACCATACACAGATTTTCTTGTCACCAGTATAAAATGCTGAAAAAATACAGCACCGACTAAGTTAATAAATTTATGAGTTCGGACAAGACCGTCGAAACAGCAGTTAAATGGGTCATTAATTAGTGTGTGCCATTCCGGGGATATCCTTGGGGATGGGAGAGACGAGCTGGAAAAATGTACGCCTGTCTCGTTTCATTTAGCCGACTGCCGAAGAAAGATGGTAATGTTTTCTGCACGTATATATTTAATTGATCGTTAGATTCGTCTCAATTATCTAAGTTGTACGTTGATTTGGTCGCAGGTTCAATCCACGCACAATACAAAAGTATATATTAGTATATCTATTTTTATTAGTCTTTACTAATTATGTACATGTAAATATATATATGCCACAATTTTTTTTTTATTTCAGTTAATTTATAAATTATATTTATAAATTTATATTTATATAAATATAATTTTAAAATACAGTATCAGCTTGTTTATTAAAATAATTAGAATTAGTAAAAGCAGATAATAAAATAGATAATATTCTTTAGTTTATATTTATTATATACCAGCTGTACTCGCGACTTTGTCCGCGTGGAATATAATATAACTTTACTTTTCTAAAATATATGAATATTTCTAAATTAAAAGTAGCCTAATTTACTCCTTATTACATCAGCTACCTGCCAATAAAAACCGTCAAAATCGGTCTAGCCATTTCAGAGATTAGCTGGAACAAACAAACAGACAGACAGACAGACAAAAATTGTAAAAAAATATTATTTATTTTTATGTACCGTATTTATATTCATATGCATGTAGTAAAAAACGGTTATTTCAATATTACAAACAGACACTCCAATTTTATTTATATGTATAGATATATTTAGAAAAAAAGTATGTTTGTATGTTTATCAGTTGTATATTATCCAAAGTACAGTAACAGCTAGTTTGTTATATTAATTAAAATGGGTAAGAAATTTAACTGTTATTTTCTGCCACTCTTCTTTTATGCATTTTAAATTCAAATCATAAATTGAGAATTAATCATATTTTTTAAACAAATAAAGACATTATTTAAATCAATAAACTAATATTTAACTACAAGAAAGAAACTTAGTTAATTACAAAAATTGCTCATACTTGCGCAATAATTAAACAGAATAAACTTGCATGGTAGCAACACATAGTATCAGGTAGAGTCATCAATTCCATCAACGAAATTAACTAACTTATTGCAAAAAATTAACTATTGCAGTTTTGCGAATATAACACCTATTGACCTACAACTGGTTGAACGAACTACCTACTACCACATGAGGTTTTTTTTATTTATTTTTTTTTAATTAAATTTATTTGTTTCTCGACTGTTTTTTATTGTCCCATTTTTTTTTGTATTATAAATATATTATGTAGTACTTCAGCCGCGATTTGATACGGCCAAAGTTTTCATTGTATAATGTGTTCCTCTGGAGGGGATGTTAAATTATCGTACCACCACATGTGGTTGACGAACTTTGTTTCTATGCAGTTGAATATAATCATAGATAACTTTCAGGTATAGGGGGAAGGTGATAGGTAGTAATGTGGACTGATGATCCCATTACTAGCAATGTACCATGTCAGGTTGACTTCCACGCAGTTCCCCCTGGAAACCATCGTAATAAATTCCTGGTGAATTTGTTACGATGGGCTAACTGACTTGACCTCATGTTCATCTTATCATCCTCCACTGGTGCCCCGCCAGCGTAAATCGTTAGCGCAGGCGGGTGCATCATTACATTATCATCCGCAAAAAAAAACTTTCAGGTATACTTATGAACGCTATGGCAAGTGAAATGACAAATGACGATCCACCAGATGGAAAGGGTCGATATTTATTTTTTAATAATAATGTGGATTTTTTAACGGTTGATAATGGAATGGTACCCCGATCTGCCTAGTTTACCCTGGTGGGGCACCAGAAGAGGATGATCATGAGGTCAGGGCAGTGACCCAGCAGATGGAAAGGGTCAATATTTATTTTTTAATAATAACGTGGATTTTTAGCGGTTGATAATGGAATGGTGCCCCGATCTGCCTAGTTTACCCTGGTGGGGCACCAGAAGAGGATTATCATGAGGTCAGGCCTGTGACCCACCAGATGGAAAGGGTCAATATTTATTTTTTTA